TTCCGAAGGAGGACGAATTCTTGCAATATGGGTGAATACCAACTTCACCACTACCGGAATGACTGACCAAGGCTTCACGATCCAGTCTCGATACAACCTCTTAGTCGCACTTCGTTCATCCGCCAATGCTATCACTTTCAACGTAGTTGCAATCCTAAGCTTTAGAACATTTAAAATCAGTTTAATCTGCCGTTCCGACCCCATATTGATAGGGGCGACGAAAAATCTCAACCCCTAAAAAGAAGGGAGACGGCCACTAGGGTTTCTCTCAAAGAAGAGAAAAGTTTGGTAGTCGAGTTTAACTAAAATATAATTATTAATTGAAATCAATTAAATGTTTTTAAAATAATGATAATAGATATTTTTGTTTACCAATAATAGAGTGACATGTCAACGATCGGTAAGTGTGTTATATTGTATAAACCAACATATCTCCGATCATATTATCCATATTAATTTGTACAATTATGTGTCACTTTAAATTTAATATTTAAATGTAGCACAATCGCCATGGCCCGTATTAAGCAGAGAGTTGCAGAAATTGAAGATAATTTGTACCATAGGATCAACTTCCTCTATCCGATTGTTCTGCTCAATTTAAAACAATAGATGTGAAGAGCACAAAATGTATACATGAAGCGTTTTTGTTTCATAAATTTATGCATAAAAAAATTCAGTGGTAGGCCATGTCGGGACACATATCAGCCCAACCCAGCACCTAATCAGTAAAACTCACCCATCATCCCAAACCTAATAGCGTCCTATATAAATTTGCCTTTCCCTATGGGCCTTTCCTTTCTCCGTACACAACAATTAGGCCCTACTTGATAAAAAAGGATGACACCCCATCCCTGAGGGTTCCTCAATCCCGATCGGACGGTATATTGGTAGGATGTAAATTGAACTATAATCTCAATCTAACAGATAGAGAGTGGAGCTCTGTCCCCGATAATTGCAGAAGCCCTATTTGATTGAAGGATTTTGAAGGGGAGGAGAGGTGATTGAAGGATTTGTGCGTTTTTTATTGAAAGTAGGAGGAAAGGGGAGGAAAATCAATGACTTCTAAAATCATCCACTTCTTCTCTCTCCCCATCAAATCGAGGTACTTCGGAGGAAAGTGTTGTCAATTGAAATTAAACAAATTGAATGTTTAAAAAATCTTTTAAAATTAAAAAAAACGAAAATAAAAACTGAATATTTTAAAAAATCAAAATATCGAGAAAAAATTTGAAATTTCGAAAAACAAAAAAAATGAAAAATTGAAATATCGAAAAATTAAAAATTAAAAATTGAAAACTAAAACTGAAAAACCTAAAAACTGAAAACAGATAAATTGAAAAAATGAAAAATTGAAAAATCGAAAAATTGAAAAAAATGAAAAGTTGAAGAATTGAAAATTGGAAAATATATACAAAATTTAGAATTACAAAATTAAAATATTAAAACAAAAAATAATAGAGAAGTAAATAAATGAAGAAGTTCAAAAATTTAAAATTTATTGAAAATAAAATTAAATAATTTCAGTTTCACATTAGCTATATAGCCTGTTGGATATTAACACAATCCAGAAGCATGTGTTAATACGACTAAACGCGAATTTATAAATTTAATACCTTATTCAATGGCTGCACCGACATAAGTACCATTACAAATCTCTTGCGTCTGATTTTCACATGGGTAGCATAGTACGATTAATCAATGAAAGGGATAACTCAATATAGAAGCACGTGTTATATGAAAGAATTGCATAAGGATGACACCCAATCCCTAAGGGCCCTCAACCCCGATCGGACAGTACGTTGGAAGGATATAAGTTGGACTATAATCTCAATTTGACAGATACATAGTGGGGCTCTGTCCCCGTTACTTGGAGAAGCCCTATGCATTTTTAGCATAGTAACCTCTCATCGCAGTTGCCAGGATTCGAATCCGGAACCTAACCCTTGTGCCACTCTCTCGCTACCAGTTGAGCTACGTTCACCGGTTATGAAAGAATTGCATAAATATTACTGGAGGTGTTTTGATCGACAAAAATATGACCATTTTAGATCTGAACATAAAAAGTAACCATTTTAGATCAGCTCCAAACACCCCATATTATCTTCCGAGATCAATCTTTATCTGATGACAGTAGATTTCAAAACCAAGCTTGTATTTGGAGTCAAATGATCGATAAGGATATTTGTAGTTAAAACTGTGAAAGTAAATGTCGGGTGTATTATTACAAGCATGGACTCATGGAAGGAAACATTAATTTGTTCTAACACCATTTTTATGGCCTGAAATACATATGCCAATAATAATAGCTAGGATTAATAGGTGGCCAAGATCAGACATGCTTGTTGTCTTCCATAATTTTGTTAACATTGTTGTGAAACCAAATTCAAGATTTCCACGTGTCTTCACCCGCATGTGTATAATGAAAACACATGACTACGACGTCCATATTAATTACGTCTCCCGCTATGATTATCTCATTTTACCTTATCGGTCTGTCCTACTAAGATTTGTCTCATATCAAATTTGGCAAACTTTGTATGGCTCTAAATCATTCTTACTTTATTTTAATTTTATCAACCACATAAACCACTTTTTATAGATTTGCGTGTCATTCCCTATTGTCCCATTGTTAGCGAGACGAAGGCAGTAACTTATAATAATCCCAATTTTTTAGAATCGACCTTCAAATAATTTGCAAATCACACCATACAAAAATTTGGGGATAATTTCTAGATCATCATTTTCATTTACCCCATTGCCGCAAAGGCTCCCACCTATGGTGGGGTAAGGGGGGGGGGGGGTCGGATGTACGCAGTCTTACCCCTGTACTAAAGCACGGAGAGACTGTTTTCGGATGACCCATAGTGAAAATTGAGTCCAAAATTGCATGGACTGACTGCTGATTCATAACAAAGAAGCATAGACAATTTAGTGAGCCATTTTGCTTTATTCCATCATAATATCAAGCCAAAAAATAATGAATCTTTGACTCCATTGCAAATGATGGAGAGCTTCTAGATAGAGTAATTAATACTCCCTCCGTCTCATTGGACTTTGTCAACTTTCCCTTTTTTGTTGTCCCAAAAAACTTTGTCAGTTTCATATTAAAGTAACTAATTTGTAGTTTTTCACATTTCTCTCTCCTCTGCACAAATCTCAACCACACAGTTTTTACTATTCTTATTTTTCACCTACTTTGCACTTGACAAAGTCCACCGGGAAGGAGGTAATATCAATCTGAAATCATATAATCATAAGTTGTCATGTATAAGATCGAACGTATATGTATGTGTGTTTTAAAAACCGGATCGAAAGGAATCTAGCCACATGATCGTGTCATGGGCCATCCGGTCAATGCCGAAAAATCGGTAGTTTATGAATGGCGCAATGCACGTCGGCATGACTTGGGCCAGGTCTGATCGGGCTGTTTTTCGTTTCTTGAGGCCCCGAATTGGCCCATGTAGCTATCGGGTACGGGTCAGGCCCAAGTTGGGTCAGGCCGGTTGATCCAAATTTTCTTTTTTCTTTTTGATTTTCTAATTACTTCCTACCCCCCACCACACTCCAAGCCCCTCCAAAACACCCAACCCAACCAATTTACCTCTCAATGACTGTGAAAAAAATGGCCCGGACAGGGCCGGGTCGGGCCGCGTCGGTTCACTTACTTGAGACCCAGAGCCCACCCCAAAAGCTGGCGGTTCGGGTATAATGCATCCGGCCCGGGTACCGGGTACCGGGCCGGACTGTGCCGAAACAGTACTGGGCAGGGCCGGTTGACCCGACCCGAAATGCACGTACGTCTAAAAAATTAGCCCGTCGTTTATAATTGAATATTTATGGAAAACTTATGTAACAAAATCTTTTTTTGATAATGGACATCAATTCAATGGCGCAATGCACCTACGTCTAAAAAATGAGACAATTAGTCCGTAGTTTATAAATGAAAAAAGAACCCACCATTCCAGCTCACTGGATGGGAGGTTACCGTGTCCTAGCGGAGGTCTCGGGTTCGAACCTTGCTAGGCACATTTACGGGAGATGAGGGAGGTCTTGCTCCCAATGATTCTTCCTACCTTCACGGAGTTGCTCAGCGGCTGAGAAAAGAGAGGATGATAATAAAGGTAGCGAGTTCGTGTGGTAGGAGAAGCAACGTGAATGGTGATGTAAGCCCTAAGCTATCATAAAAAATTGAAGAAAAAAAGACAAAGAAGCCCTACAGGGTGGGGACAGGGAAGACTGGCGAGGGCCTCTGCCTTTTCTTAAAAAAATTGTGATGTACGTAGTATATACATATGTATAATTATTTAAAGACCCTTTGGTAACACTATTTTTTGGTTTATCGGGCTTATCAGCCAACTTTTTCACTAAACACGTAATTTTTGTTTTCGCGCGCTGAATTGTGTAATAATAAGAAAAAGTAAAGTTGAAGTTACTTTTCTGGCTTTATTGGCTGAAGTTATGACCATTTTATCTATTTTTACATATAATTTTTTGTTTAATATATTAATAAAATATATTTTAAAAATATTTTTTTTAAATCAGCAGAATCGATCAATGCAGTCACTTCAGCTAGAAATTAATAAATTTCAGCAGAATCAGTCGATTTGCGTACTACCAAACGGGCTCTTAGAATTATTAAAAATATATAATGAAAAAAAATCCACTACCTATATAATGAAATATAGAATTATATTTCATTAAAAAAAATATAATGAAATATTGAGTTTTGGCTCCCTTAACATAAATCCTTAACCTCCGGCCCCTTAACCATCCCCTTTTTACTTGTTGGTGTCGATGAATTTTCCAAGAGAAGTTACCAGCATCAGCCGGTAAAAAGATTTTAATTGCTTTATACCAATAGGTTAAATAATGTATTTTTAAATCTTCTGGTTCAAGATTTAATTATAAAAATCATCAATAGTTTAATGACATATTTGCCCCCTTTCACTTTATTATAAATAAACACCAAGTACTTGAAATCCATCGTCCTCATCTCCCGTCAGATTCTCGAAGAACGGCCTCCTAAACTACAAACCTTACCAGCCATGTCGCTTGAAGACAAAAAGGTTTGCTCCTTCGTTCCATTTCTAATCGTCATTGCCATGATCGCGATATCTAGAGCTCCGTTTCCTCATATAGAAATAGGGACTTAGTTAATTATCTTATCAAAAAAACTTAATTTAATTATCTTATCAAAGTTTTTTTTAAACATGAACTTAATTATCTTACTACGTATCAAATATGACCCAAACAAATAAAATGAAGTGATGATGTAGAGTTGTAGCTAGGCGCCATTAAACGCCCCCTCCCCATGTAATTAGTTAATTAAGTGGTCAAATTATAGCTGTATACAATTAGATTACCACACAGTAACTTTCAAAAAAGAAAAATTAAGTCTTTTTTTTTTGCAATTCGTGTACTTGCTAAAGCTAGAGTTTAAATCCGGACACGTTAATAACATGACGTTTATAGCATTGTAGATGTAGTGAGTTTATTACGAAGCACTACGTATAAATTACAGTGAGTTTATTATACTCTATCAGTATTGTACACCTTATGAATTGAAAGGGTGTTATAGTTACTTTGTGATATAATCCTGGTCTATGAGCATTGTTGTAATCTGGTCTGGTTTGATTCGAGACCGAAAACAATCCAACTAAAAATATACTACATACTTTGCAACGGATTGAGTATTAATTATTACTCCGTAGGTATTACGGAGTATTAAGTACATTTTGCTCTTAAAATTTAGTTCGTTTAGTTGTTTTGCTTTTTTTTAAAGTTTTTGATATTTTCTAATTAAATTACGATGTAAAAACGCTTGAATGTTAAAATACATTTTATTATATTCTACGTATTACATTAAAGTGAAACATAGTACTTCGTATTAGTCAACTAGTTACGTAGTATATACGAAGTATATACATACATATTGCCGTTTGGGGCGGTTCTTGCTGGAAGTTTTTGATAGTCAACATGTATTTTATTGTAAATACATGTTAAAATACATTTTAGTATATACGTATATACGAAGTCAACTAGTTATGTATGTATGTATATATACATACATATATATATATATATATATATATAGATATACATATATACATACATATATATACATATATATATACATATATATACATATATATATACATATATATACATATATATATACATATATATAAATATTCTCAGGTCCAGCACCTCCCGGTCCGAACGTCGTCCGAACTGGGGCGATTCTCGGTGGAAGTTTTTGATGAAATTTTTTGAGCATAATCATCATCAAGTCTAGTTTATCCATACCAAATTTCAGCTCAAAATTCGATCAGGAAGGCAGTCAAATAATTCGTTGAAGTTAACTGCGCTAAATTATACATAGAAAAACGCAGTTAACTTCTTGAGTGTATTATATGTCGTTGGAAAGATAATTTGGAGATCTAAAGCTATTGTTCCAACTCCATTTACAATGCATTAATTAAAAGTTACAGATTAACCATAAATTCACAAATGTTTCTGATTTCACTCCGAAGCCGTGTAGAATTTGATGCGATCATATCTTGCTCTATTTTGTTGAATTGAAAGCGTTTAATACCTCGTTGGAAAGATTTACCGAGTTCTAAAACTTGTCTTCAGGCACTGGTTTCAAAATATCAAGGGATGATTGCTTAATTACTAAAATACACTGTATTTAAGCTAAAAGTGCTCTATTTACGCTGAAAACGCTAAATCATAGAGATAAGGCTAAGTATTTGTGACACTCATATCATGCTTTGTGTTCTTCTTGTTTGAGCGTATTATATGTCGTTGGAAAGATAATTTGGAGCTCTAAAGCTATTTTTCCAATTTCATTTACAATGCATTAATTAAAAGTTACAGATTAACCATAAATTCACAAATGTTTCTAATTTCACTCCGAACTCGTGTAGAATTTAATACGATCATATATTGCTCTATTTTGTTGCATTGAAAACGTTAAATATCTCGTTAGAAAGATCTTACCGAGTTCTAAAACTTCTCTTCAGGCGCTGGTTTCAAAATATCAAGGGATGATTGCCTAATTACTAAAATACACTGTATTTATGACCTTTGCACCCCATCTTCATTATACCATAATTCCCACCTTATGATCACATAATGTTTTGCAAAGATAAGAATATAACTTGGAATAACTGGTCATAAATCAGCCAGGGACCAGTGAATGAAGATGAGGTGCAAAGGTTGGATTATTCATGAATAATCTAAAGGTGGGACTATTGTAAGAAAACCGATAAAATGTTGGATTATTAGTTTTCATTTTCCCAACTAAAAATTACTCCGTAAAACATAACAGTAATATATAATATTATACAATAGTAATAATAATAGTAATTATATTAAAAATAATAATTATTATTATTATTATTATTATTATTATTACTACTACTACTACTACTATTGTTATTATTATTATCATTATTGTTGTTGTTGTTGTTGTTGTTACGGAGTATTATTTTTATAATACTTATTAAATAATAATAATAATAATAATAATAATAATAGTTATTATTACTATTATAATTATTATTGATATTATTATTGTTGTTGTTGTTATTGTTATTATTCTTATTATTATATACCAATTTAGAAAGTTAAGATCAGATCAGAAGGATTCAGATCAGATCAGAAATATTCAGATCAGATCAGATACATTTAGATCAGATCAGAAACATTCAGATCAGATCAGAAACATTCAGATCAGACCGGACAGATTCAAATCAGATCAGAAACATTCAGATCAGATTCAGATCAGATCAGAAAGATTCAGATCGAGTCAGATCAGATCAGAAAAATTCTGATCAGATCAGAACTTAAAAATTCATATCAGAAACATTCAGATCAAGTGAAGAGAACATCTTCTTAGTAGGAGGAAACTGCTCAATTCTAAAATATGGAGCATCCGGGAACATTTGAAAAAATGTAAATTTTGAAAAATTCATGAGCTGAAAATAAATGTAAAAATGATTAAAATAAAAAAAATAGAAATTTGTATCTTTGTAAATCTATAAAAGCTTAAAATACAGAGTAGTAAGATTATTATTTCTTGTGATTCCAAATATAAGACAAAGCTGAAGAATTACGTTTTTTATTTAAAATCAAAACTAGAAAGAAAAAATGTAAAAATTTATAGAAATTCTGAAACAATGAAAAAAATCACAAAACTTTACAAAAGTAAAATAAACACCGTTTATGGGGAATTTTTTTTAAAACCGAACAGAAGAATAAAACAAAAAAAACAAAAAAAAACATAAAATATAAAAAATAAATAATAAAAATAGAAAGTAAAAAAGGTAAAAAGTATTAAAATTTTTAGAAAATGTAATAATTCTGAACTCGAATAACAAATGTAAAAAAATCTAAAATCGTAAAACGTAAAAAAGTTGAAAATATTACAAAGTATGACTTTTATTTAATTTGTAAGGAGCTACGAAGTTTAATTCTTATTGTCATTTATTGTTATTTTTTGTTGCATGTTGTTTCTTTGTGTTTTTGTATATTTAATTTTGTTGCAAATTTCACATATTTGTTTTTTATTGTTTCTTCAAGTTTTATTGTTGATATTCATGCATCGAAATTTATCATTTTAGGCGATTACATATCTATAAATGATTTTTTGATTCCACAGAAGTAGCAAAGATGCATAAAACATGAACCTAAATAAACAACTAAAATCAAAGTCAACTATAAACAACAATAAGCAACAAAATGTAACAAGGAACACAATGCAACACAAAGAAACAAATATTATGCAACAAAAATCAACAAAAGATAACATATAAAACTATCATAATAAATATATAATTCAATTTCATCAAAACTAGATTTAATGAGTAAGATTCTCAAAACATTTCATCAAAAAATTCCACCGAGAACTACCCCAAATGACCACGACCGGACGGAGTCTCCTATATAAGAGATTATTTGACTTTTTTTTGAGTCATTCTTCAAGCTCTCAAAGAACCGAAATCCTCATATAATCCTTTACCAAAAATAAGTACAATTAAATACATCAAACATTCCCCCAATACAATAATTTCTAAGCCCCCGATGACCTCATCCCAAAAAAAAGCAAGCTAGCACACTATTTCACACGGAGTAGGATTTATGTAATCTGAAGGTGTTTTAAAAGTTAATTTAAATAGGCAGTACTTTTTCAGTCTCATTAATATTGTCTCAATTTACTTTTTCGAGAAATCTCATTAAAATTATCTCATACCCAATTTGATAAAGTTTGTGTGGTTCAAAATCAGTCTTACTTTATTCTTACTTTATCAATCAATATTAACCACATAAGCTCACTTTCTTAATAATCGAGTCACCTCCTTCCATTCCAGTATTAGTGGGACGGATGTAGTACGTATTTTTTATGCAAATTCAATACCCTAGCTATCTTAGATAGTCAATAATTACTTTGGTAGCATTTGTGTGATTCTAATTCATCCTTACTTTATTCTCACTTTATCAACTCATGATGCACTACATTATTCCACTTTTCTTAAAAAACACATCACTCTCTTCCGTCACAATATTAGGGGGACGGAGGTAGTAATACGGAGTATGTAATTTTAGATGCTCCCCGTATTTAATATCAAATCACAACTGTAGGGAGTATATATAAATTAAAAACATGATATAAAAGATTTTAAAGGTGTAAACTGTGAAGTATTGATTCACTTTTAAAGCTTGCAATGATGTGTCACCACCATTCTAGTTGAGAAGATGCTTTGGTACTATGAAAACAATGAATAACTGAATATATACTAGGAAAAATAGAAAATAATAATCCCAGCAAACAATAATCCCAACTATTGATTATTTTTGTATAATCCCAACTATATGGATCGTCCGCCAATAATGGTCCATTACCGCATATTATCTGCTCTAACAAGTGAATTGTTAATAGAAATTAAGAGTAAAAATTAAAATTTGGGATTATTTATAGGGATTATCTGCTATATCTCTTTAGAAACTATAAGAATTTATTTATAGTCGGTCACGTCGGATCATTATTGGCAAAAAGTCCCTAAAGTTGGGATTATTCTGAAATAATCGATAGTTGGGATTATTATGAGCGGAGCACCAATAGTTGGAATTATTACAATCAATTTTTCCTATATACTAATTCGTTCAATAGCATTGGAAATTGAGAAATGATATAGTATCCAAAATGGGCACCTCATTCCTACCCTGACCTAATGTGTGGCAATAAATGAGGCAACACATTTAAGTGAAGCACGACTTAAATGTGTTACCTCATTTATGACCATACATTAGTTAAGGGTAAGAATGAAGCACATTTAGCATTTCTCTTGGAAAATAACTCGGAGTTTTATTGTCTAACTTTTTCAAGGAGAGATGCTCTTATAAATTGAATCCTAATAGATCACTTTTTTCGTAATTCACGAGCTTTTGCTATTTTAATTCATAATGAAGAATTTTGAAGGTTTTTTTTAACAAGAATATTACTAAAATAAGTCATATTTACATAAATATAACTATTCATTACTACAATGTGGTGTTGTGGTAACTTAAGTTCAAAACTTGAACATGAATTACTATGATTTCATTACTACTCTAGTCATTAGTTATATTTTTGTAAATCATCTTTATATTGATCATATTTATGTAATTATTTCAATTTTGAATTTGCACCCACATTTTGGATGATATTGGACTTTACACCTAGTTTTGATAAAATTTATACTATGCACCCCATCGTATAACATTTTGTATAGAAAAATATCTAAGTGAAGTGCAAAGTCAAAGACTTTTTAAGTGAAATAGGTGCAAAGTCTGAGTTTTTTTTAAATGGGGTGCAAAGTCAAAAACTTTTAAGAAAATAAGTGCAAAGTCTAAGTTAATACGGTGTGTGCAGTGGCGGATGTGTTTGGTTCAGGGGTGTTCATATGAACACCCAAACATTTGAAAATTCAATACAAAAATACATGTTAGGAATTTTTGTATGTAATGTTTATGTAATATTTTAATAGTAAAACATTTTTGAACACCTGAAATTTAGTAACAAAATCTGCCACTGCATGGGTGTGTGTTTCAATATTTTTATGATAAATTTGATTTCCGTACTCGATTTTGTACTTCAAAGTTTTAAAACAAAGAGCGTGTTTGACGTTTAACGGTTAGCGTATAACGGATTGTATTAGCGGGTTGTCAATAGCGGATTCGGTCAACGGATTTGACTGGTGGAATAAGTTGGTGGATCGTCAGAAGATGTCTGGTAATTTTGCTGTTTGGCCATAAAATTGGTAGAAAAAGCCATATTTCAAAACTCTAACTCAAAACTCTCCTATTTGTCGTGTTTTCATTTCGGTGCTGAACCGCTTTTTACCAAACAACGTTTTCACTTATTAAAAACGCTAAAAGTGGTTAAACCGTCATTTTCTGGCTGAAACCCCATTTAACAAACACCCCCAAAGTTCAGTTTTTTTGAACTATTTTTATAATCTTCATGACTAGTAAGTGGTGATCGCAATAAAGTAAAAATCAGATGCATATATACATAAAATAGGAACGCAAATTAAATTGTAACCCATGTTAGAATGTCGTATAAATATTAAACAGGAGGCGCAAGTTTAATGTGTTGAACGCAAGAGTAGTAGAATGATGCAATGTACTCGTAAAAATCCTATCCTTAGCCCAACTTTCCATAAAATGAATGAAATGAATGGATATTACAGAGATATGTATTGACGTTGCCAACTAAGCCTTGCGTGTAATAATAAAAAAATTATATCATATCCCTCCCGTCGTCTATTACTCTACTTTCGTTCTTTTGTGCTCTGCCTTTCTCGTTTCTACTTTCTACCACCCCAGCCATATATTAACTCCCTTCTCTGTGTAATAATAATATTTGTAAGACATGTTTGGTCTTGCCGTTATTTCTCGAGCTCTATATCGTCGATCCAAGGTCAGTATTGTATATTTGTATTTATGCCTCAAATCATACTCATCAATGTTCTAAGCTTCACCTTTCCTCCTCTCATATATATCAATGTGTGTAGTCAAAGTTTATATTTTTAGGGTGTAACTTTTATCTTTATTGTCACGTTTACCGTTAACAATGTACGTCGTAATAAGTTTATTATTTAAAGATAGAAACGGGTTTAAGGGTATTTGCAAGTTCTCCTGTTGAAGGGTCTGATTACATAATCGTAAATAGTTCGAGAATCTATTTGCTCCTTTTTTCTTCTTTAAAACCAGAACCATTTTTGGTTTCATAAAAAAGGCTACTTTTGTACTTTGTAGTGTTTGATAATGTTAGGAAATTGGTTATAATGGATGTATAAATAAAAAATTGGGAACTCCTTTTTAAGGAAAGGTCACAACTACTATTTGACATTTCTTCTATACGGAGCATCACTTTTATTCCTAATTAAAAAAGATATTATCTTGATTTTTGAATGGCAGTTTTCTGGTCAATATGATTCATTATTGCATACCTAAATGGCCCAATTCAATTGTATCAGTACTGAGTTCTTGAACAACTCAATCCTACTGAAGTTCAACCAACAATGACTTGAATGTTGTTTGTGATTGCTGCAGAATGGAATTACAAATCTCAAGGCTCATTTTGCCACATCTTCCTTATCCACACCATCTGATCCATCTAACAAAGAGCAAGTGGATATTGATTGGGAAAATATGGGATTTGGTCTGATTCCCACTGACTATATGTATATTGCAAACTGCACTAAAGATGGGTGTTTTGAGGAGGGCAAACTGATCCCTTATGGAAATCTTGAAATTAGCCCAGCGGCTGGTGTGTTGAATTATGGGCAGGGTATATATGAAGGCACAAAAGCATTTAGAAGAGAAAAAGGGGGCATCTTTTTGTTCAGACCGGACCAGAATGCGATCCGAATGCAGATTAGTGCGGAAAGATTGTGCATGCCTTCCCCTTCAGTTGACCAATTTTTGGAAGCTGTAAAACAGATTGTGATGGCTAACAAGCGTTGGGTAATGCTTTTCTCTTGGGGTTTAATGCACCAAACCCTCCGTGATATGGAAATTCGCCGCATTATCCCCGTGATTTAAAAAATGCATCAATCGCTCCCCTCCCCCGTGTTTTAATTAATCATGCACAGAACCCCTTTTATGAATAAATTTAACAATTTGGAAATCACTTTTTCTAATATTCTGATTGAATATGCAAGTAAATATGTCAAAATCTCTAAATCATACAAAAATGTTAATCATTTTTCTTTTATTTGACAATTGAATTTATTCATAAAAGGGATTTTGTGCATGATTAATTTTATATCACAGGGTTGTTTGACGCATTTTTTAAATCACAGGGGGCTAATGTGCCGAATTTTCATATCATAGGGGGTTTGGTGCACTAAATCCTTTTCTCTGGTTGTAAACCTAAATATATCAATTTTCGGTTTGTTAACTTTTATGAGTAAACTTTTCTATCAAACTTTCTCCAATTACACTTTGTCAATTTTTGTTTTTCGTTTGTCCCAAAAAACTTTGTCATTTTCTATTTAAAAGTTAAAACAATGGATTTATATTTCTGTTCATTTTTCTCTCCTCTACACAAATCCACACATTTTTACTATTTTAGTTTCGTACACAACATTAATTTGGCAAAGGTGAGTGGGACGGATTTAGTAACTTTTAATTTCGTATGGTGCATAGTGAAATAATCGAGGGTTATTTTGAGTTTGCACCCCACTTTATTGTCGATATTAGACTTTACACCATGTTTTTTAAATCTTTAGTATTTGCACCCGAACCCCGTATGAAAAGACTAAAATGCCCCTCAATTAACAATTTTGTTGACCTTCAACATATTTCTGATCGAGGGGCATTTTTGTCTTTTCATACGGGATTGGGGTGCAAATACTAATGATTTCAAAAACGGGGTGCAAAGTCTAATTTGGATAATAAAATGGGGTGCAAACTCAAATTATCCCAATAATCAAAACAAATAAAATTGAAAGTACTTTTGTATATGAATTGACTAAAAATACTGAATTGGACCATTTTAGTTATATTTTCATATGTTTTTTTCTTTTCTTTATTAATAACGTATATTTTAATAATATTTTTTTTCAATTTAAAAGATTCGGTCAATTCAACCGCTTCGGTCAAAGTTTTATCGATTTAATCAAGTTCAATCAATTCAATCAATTACTGTAATTATTAGATCGACTTGTACTGAATCAAATTGCACTCAGATTTGATACAAATGGGATGAATGTGGATGAACTCTTATGTATGCATTAGAGCTAATAAAAGTGTATACTAACATCATGTAGAACCACCGCAGATACCTCCTCCAGGAAAGGGGTCTCTCTATATTAGGCCTATACTATTTGGAAGTGGACCGGTTCTTGGTCTAGCTCCAGCTCCCCATTATACATTTGTAATCTATGCCTCACCGGTCGGAAATTATTTCAAGGTTAGTTAGTATTAAGGGTAGCTTAATAGTTAGGTCATAATTGCTTACTAAGGCTCTCAGTTTCTAAAGTCTATTAGTTACTAAAAGCTTTAAAAAAAAGCGCTTCTCAATTCTTGAGTTAAAAAGCTAAAATTAGTATTTTCAAGTGACAACTTTTACTGATTTTTTAAGCTTTAAAAAAAGACTTAAAGAGCGCTTCTCGGCTTTTGGCTGAAAAATGCTTTTTAATTTTTCCATTACACAAAAAACACATATTTTATCAAACACTGTAAACTTTTACTTTTCAACTTTTACTATCAGCCATTTTTTTCCAAAATCACTTTAAAAGGTTCTTTTTTTAAAGCAAAAGCATTTGCAAATAGGGGTGGAGACAGGGGAGGGCCAACTTTGGCCCTGGCCCAGCCCAAATTTAAAAAATGTCTAGTTTTTTAGTGTAAAAAAATCGGGCAAAAAAGTTTCCAAAATTTTCCTTTGTATCGATCCAGTCCGGCCCAGTGTCCTGGCTTCGCCCCTTTAGGATGTTTTTACTTGGATTGTAATTTGTTGGTCTGGTCTGGTCTGATCTGATCTGGACTGGTCTGATCTGGTCTGGTCTGAACTGGTCTGGTCTGGTCTGGTCTGGTTTCTTTGTATTTTTATAACTATTCAAGTCTGGTCTTGTCTGGTCTGGTCTGAACTGGTCTGGTATGGTCTGGTCTATTCTGATCTGATCTGGTCTGGGACGAATTACAGTCCAAGTAAAAACATCGTTATTGCAAACACTCACTTTCAACTCCCGTATCTTATGAATACTTGCTGAATATAAAGATTGAAAGTTAAAAACAATTCATCATTATAATTATAGGTCACAAATAATACTTGTCACAAATCATGCATTTCAATAAAAAAAAATAGCGATTTGACTTTATTAAACTAATGGTAATTTTCCTGACCGGATACAATTATTTAGGCACCTCTGAACATATACATCGAGGAAGAGTTCCACCGCTCCTCGCGAGGTGGATCCGGTGGTGTGAAAAGCATTACTAACTATGCACCGGTAAATGTCTATCCCATTAATATTGTAGTGTCTCACAAATTTTCTTATTTAGCTCTTCTAATTTTTGTATTACTCTTCATTTGAAGTATGTAATTTTGGGTAATGTTATTTATTTCTTCTCGTACATATAAAGGGGCTGTTTGATACATAAAAAAAGGCTGATACATAAAAATCACCAAACGCCAACCAAATTGGCTACTTGGACTGATTTTTCTTAATTATCAGCTAAAAAAGGAAGTGTTCGGTTACTTTTTGGGCTGATATTTATTATTCTACTATTAGCAATAGCAAAGACCCTTTACCACATTACCCCCACAACTGAAGACTGCCTTTAGCTCACCTGTATTGGAAGATTACCCCAAACCCTCGGTTGAAATCTAGCTTGCTCACTTGCTTTGACATCTATTAATCTGCGTTTTCTTCCTTTTGGATGATGAAAACTCGGTTTCAAGATTCTTTTTCATTTGAGGCAGTCTTCGTTCTTCTTATGCGTAATATCTCTTATATTGGCTTTGAATCATTACATATCATAATTTTTCCTCTAAATGACTTTCGTATACGATTTTTTTTGTTTTTATTTTAAATTGATATGATTTTTAGAGCTTTTAGTTCTAGGTTGTAGAAATTTGGTGAAATTTGACCTGATTTTCTTCTCTTAAAAGCAATTCCGTTTTTAGTATTGGAAAGATCTCAAAAGTGGGTTAAGAAAAGAGTAAAATGCATAAATGACCCTTGAACTATCATCACCATATCGTTTTGGTGCTCGAACTATTAAATCTATCATTTTAGTCCTTAATCTATTCCATCTATATTAATCGAGTTCTTCCATTAAATTTGCCGTTAACTTTGACGGAAGCTAATTAACTTATTAACATCTCATAATTTTAAACATTTTGGAACAATACAATCATTCTTAAAATTTAAGTAGCTAATGTAGTTTTTTTTAAATATACATATATGTACACATACTCGTATAAAAATGATAAAAAATGTAAGGGAAATTTATTTATTGTATTAAATATTGCGAATTTAAATATGGAGTATTCTTTTTTTTTTTTTTGGGGGGGGGGGGGGGGAGGGGGTAATGAGGTCATATATTGAGAAAGTGGATGGATTTTAGTCATACCTAGTTTTATTCTTTTCTTAATATAATTAATAATAATAAAAATCACCCTCGTTTTCTTATTTAATTTTATCTGCTCAGATGTATATAATTGATTATTTGATTCTCTCTTATATACTACGTAGTACGTATTGTTCTGGCCGTACATTTGATTTTATATTATTTATTTATAATTTTTATATGTGTATGTGTACATATATGTATATTTATAAAAAAAAACTAGATTAGCCACTTAAACTTTAAGATGATTTTATTGTTTCAAAATGATTAAAATTAGTAATAAGTTAATTAGCTTCCGTCAAAGTTAACGGCAAATTTAACGGAAGGACTCGATTAATATAGATGAAATAGATTAAGGATTAAAATGATAGATTTAATAATTCGAGGACCAAAACGATATGGTGATGATAGTTCAAGGACCATTTATGATAGTGAAAATTTGGCCATTTTTCATTGATTTACATTGGATAAGTGGATGTGTGTTTTCATGAAGAAAAGATGCATAACAATTTGAAGGACACAACAATTTAAGGAAAACTTTAAAATCCTTTATGGTATTTTACTTTCAAGCAGTCATTTCAGCTAACATATAACCAAACACTTTCAATTTTTCAGATTCAGTCTTTTAAACTATTTCAGCCACTACAACCATTACCGAACACGCCCATAGTGTCATTCCGCAAACCAAGAATATATTTTTTACTAACTTAATTATGGTACATATTCCTTGTTAACTTTTGGGTGTGCAAATGTGCAATAGGTAATGAAATCACTATTGAGAGCAAAAGGCAAAGGATTCTCCGATGTACTCTACCTTGATTCAACTCATAAGCGATACGTAGAGGAGGTGTCTTCATGTAACCTCTTCATGGTCAAGGTATATATGCATCACTCAAGAATAAAAAAATATAATCTACGTTCATATGTACAAAACTTATAAATTGGTAAAAAATATTTTACGGAGTAAAATTTTAAGTTTTAACTTTCACAACATAAAATATGCTAGCCTTGGCTTGCGTAACAATACATTTCTGGCACCGTCACCAATCATTTGACTCTTATTGAACAACCAAACCAAGCTGACGTTGTTCGACCTTAGCACTACCATGAAATTAGGATTGAATAACATGACCAAAAATATTTATTTATATATATTTGTATAGGGGGACGTTGTTTTGACTCCACCAGCAGGCGTCACAATCCTTTCGGGTATTACAAGGAAAAGTATAATTGATATTGCACGAGATTTAGGGTACAAGGTTGAAGAAAGAGTGGTGGATGTTGAGGAATTATGCAATGCTGATGAAGCATTTTGTACTGGAACTGCAGTCGGTATTGCTCCAGTTGGAAGCATTACTTTCAAAGAAAAAAGGTATAAAAACATATATTCATACATTTAAAGTACACATTATATTCAAAGAAAAAGTAATTAAACTTGATTTAAGATGGAGTTTTTCCTATAATGATACTCAAACAATCATCACTAAAAGATGGTGATATAATCACTTTGAATAACAAGTTGCATTTTTTCCAACAACTTTATTTCATTATATAAGTCATTATTTCATTTAAGATTTCTTATATGTAATGAGTCACATTATATTGTGGCTAATAAATTGTTACATAAATAAACAGGATTCTGTACAAATTAGGATCAGGGACAGTGGGGCAGAAACTAGCCTCAACACTCTTAGAGATACAAAGAGGTGTAATTGAAGATAAGATGGGATGGGTTGTGGAGATTGAGAAACAAAACTGATGATGCAATTATGTATAGTTGCTCTAAACTTTTAATTTGTTTGGGCTATGTATGCCTTAATACTGTTTGCGTATTCAAACTTGTTATACCGAATTGAAGGCCTTGCCTATATATAGTACACATACTTCTCGGGGATGTTGAAAAAATATTACACAAGTGATCAAAATGAATAATAAATTTCACTCTTCCTTTTGATGTTTTTTTGTCTTTGTGGAACCTTTTCCTCTAAATTGTCAAGCTTTATATCTGGGACTAAAACTGTACTTAGAATTGTGGAGACAAATTATCAAAAACATATCAAATATGTAAATATGAGAAAACTCATTAACATCAGGACTTCCTGATAGGAATATGGCTTAGTAGGCTAATAATAAGATATACTCGTAATAATAATAGTAAGGGGAAGAATAAGGGATCTAATAATAAGTAACTACTGGGCTAGTAGCCTTATTAATCCCTACATGGATAATACTATAAATAGAAGGGGGGTGTCAAAAGAAGGTAGGCTGTTATTGGATTTAGGTGTTGCCTTGGAGAGTGGGCTTCTCGAACAGTCCCATTGTTGCCTTGTTAACTACGTATTTCCTTCTTTATCAAACAAACTTCATTATCTCTTCCATTCCTGATAAGATCTGTGAGTTTGTCTACTGTTTATGCCTGTATCATTGCCAATGATTTATCAATGGTATCAGAGTAGTGAATTCGGGTGAGCGGAATTGTTGTCGCATCCTCAGAGAGTTCTCGTTTCAGCAGCGTTTTTGGTGATCAGAAATTGCTGTCGCAACCTCAGAAAGTCTCATTTCCGTGTTAATTGGTCAAAACGAGAGCCAAACTGGAAAAGCGAGTAGGGTATCTAGAACGAAACCTTCTGGAGTTAAAGGAGGAAAGGAAAGCTGAGATGAAATCCGCGATGAAGAATATCACCACAACTATGGCCGCGATGACCGAACAGAGGAAGGTCGCGATCGCAACACCATCATCATGCGCAAACAGTCCTACGATGTAATACCCGAGATTAATTTAAGAGGATTAATAGTACTACTCATACCAACAGAGGTGCATCTCCTTTTAAGGGAGCTCATCACCAAGAACTCCAAGGTTAAGCGTGCTTGCACGAGATAGTCTTGGGATGGGTGACCCCCTAGGAAGTTTTTTCAGGGCGCGCACGAGTGAGGACAAAGTGTGCGGTAAAGGCTCGTGGTGGTTTGTGAGGACAGTACTAGAGGTCAGAAGTAACTACCTCAGGTCTTGTGGGGCCGGGGTGTTACAGGTGGTATCAGAGCAACCCTGCGACAGTGTGCTGACCCGTTGGATATCGGACGGTCACTTAGCGGGGCAACATTCTGGGGGTTGATTGAGATTGGTTTAAGGGCGCAATGAGGACGTTGCGATCCTAAGTGGGGGTGATTGTAATACCCGAGATTAATTTAAGAGGATTAATAGTACTACTCATACCAACAGAGGTGCATCTCCTTTTAAGGGAGCTCATCACCAAGAACTCCAAGGTTAAGCGTGCTTGCACGAGAGTAGTCTTGGGATGGGTGACCCCCTGGGAAGTTTTTTCGGGGCGCGCACGAGTGAGGACAAAGTGTGCGGTAAAGGCTCGTGGTGGTTTGTGAGGACAGTACTAGAGGTCAGAAGTAACTACCTCGGGTCCTGCGGGGCCGGGGTACATACAACCTCCGGAGGTAATCCCGATTATACTCACGCTCACGCACTGCATCATAGAAGATATGAGGAGAATAATAGAAATCCAATTCACACGGGAAGAAAGGTTGAACTACTGTGGTTTACCAGGGATAATGCAGACAGTTGGATTGTGAGGATGGAAGAATATTTCTGTCTCAAAGCTACTGCGGAAAAAAATAAAGTTGACATAGCAGAAGGAGCGATGGAGGACAGGGCGTTTGACTGGTTTCTATGGTGGCAATTTGAGACGAAAGAATATAGTTGGAACGCTCTAAAGGAATCCATAAATCGTCATTTCCAGTCTATATGTAGTCTGAAAACAGGGAACCTGTTGATGGAGTATATGGCCCAGGAACCCCCGGCCCATAGACTCCTACTATTCTAAAGGAGGCCCAATAGGCCCAGGAAACACAGCAGGCCCAAATCACAACGCCCCAAGTACTGAGCAACCCACGTGGCACACTGGGGGTGCCTTCGGCCCCCTGACCGAAGGCTCCAAATTCTCACAGGATGGCCAACTCAAGCAAACAAAGTTACTGGGAGAAAACGGCGAAAATCAGTAGCCCTCAGCACCTAGAGCCCTCGGCACTAAGGAGGTTCCCGGTACTCAGAGCCCTCGGCCAATCGTCTGCAGCCGAGGGCACCTTTCTCGACCTAATATCCTCTCCACATGCGCCTGAATCACCGTACCAAGTACGACGTCACATCCAACAGCCGCATTTAATGCGGCCACATGCGAATGCCAGTGCCACCCCGTTGAGGTGACCCCTCGACCATCAGAATGATGACACGTGTCCCTATCTGGCATTTATTACTACTATAAATAGCGCCCCTTTTCCCCATTTGTGATCCAAGCCAAAATCGGTCATTACATTCTCAGCAATACACTCTCTCTTATTTTTGCTCTGACTTCTCTCTAGTTACTCCCCGCAGTAACCCCTCGGATACATACCCCCGGGTAGACTATCCATCATTTGGTACTCTCGTTGAGAGGTCGAATAATCAAGTAAGAAACCCTCCCCCTCGCCAAACACAAAACACCTAGCGAAAATGGTGAGAACAACTCGTGCCAACTCCAAGAACGTTGAGGATAGGAACCTGGCCCTCGGTGAAGTCGAGGTCCCCGAGGCCTCTAACAGGGCTCCCGGGGGCGGCGTCATCGCCGGGTTGGACCAGACGGCTGTCGACCTACGCCATCAGATTCAACAGAATGCCCTCGATGCCTTCCTCGGCATCGAGGCCAAAAAGAAGGACCGGGGCGAGAACCAAGTTAGCCCTCCGGTCATCACTATCGACGTACAGTCGGCGTTTTCCGCCTTCATACAGACGCTCACCTAGAATCCGGGTGCCTTCGGCACTTTGGTTCCCCTCCAACCTCAGGTCGGGGAGAATATCATGCCTCCCCCTCATCCACACCCCCTCGGGAACCCTGTCCTCCGGATGGGGAACGTTGAGGGGGTCGTGGCCCAAGATACGGCCTCCTAGGAAGTCCAATCCCGGGACCGCCACCACATGAACAAGGAACAACCCCAGACCTCCGCCCTCGAGAGACTCGGAGGGGCGCAAGACCGCCGAGGGGTCCAAGACCTCAGGAAAGTGGTGGATCCGTCTCCAGGTCTGATGAAAGACGTCCCCTCAGGACAAAGGAAAGGCACCTCTCCATGCCGACGACGCCCGTCACCAAATCAACCAGGACCACTCGGCTCGTGTCTGTTCGCAGGGGGCGGAGGCCCTCCCGAAGGACCCCCGAGACGAAATCATTGCGGCCCTCCAGCGTCGTCTTGACGAGATGTTGGCCACCAAAGCACACACCACCAGTTCTGCCCCCCATGCAGACCTGAAGTATGAGGCCATGTTGGCCAATATGGAGGAAATGTAGAAGAAGATAACTGAGGGCTCCAGGGAACCCACCATACAACTCCGGACCTGGACGCCATTTACCCCAAGGGTATTGGCGGCCCGGATCCCGGAAAAATACCGAGGGCAACTCATCAAGTCCTACGACAGAAAAACTGACCCCAGGAGCACTAGAGCAGGTACCAAAACAATATGATGATGGTAGGGGCATCAGATGAATATTTGTGCCGTTGGTTCCTCTCCACCTTAGAGGGGCTGGCTTACGAATGGTTCAATCGATTGCCCGAAGGCTTCATCGACTCATGGCAAGAACTCACCCAGCGATTCTTGACACAATTTGCGGGAAGGCGCCGCACAAGAAAACACTTCTCCCACTTGCTGACAGTGAGGCAAAGGAAAGAGGAGACCCTTCGGGACTTCTTGGAGCGCTGGAGAACGGAGGCTGATAAAGTTGATGGCGCAGATGACGGGACCCTCAAGGAGCCTCATCATCGACCCCCCTCCCGCAATTATATAAGGGCCCTGCAGCGGGGGGATAGGTACTCTGAAGCCGAGGAGGTGGAAAAATGCCATCACACCCCCGATCAGCAACGCCCTCATCCAGACGACAGAGGCAATCGGGGGTCGGGGGGCTCCCCGTAATCAACCCAAGGATTCGGCATCCCCAGTGACCGCCCCCAGCACGGCCAAGCCAAGCCCGGGGGAGGTTACAAGGGGACCCCGAGGGCTTGGGCACAGCCTGTTCTCCTGGAGCACCCTCGGACGCCTTTGACGCACCCCGTTAGCGTCATCCTCGACTTCGCTGAGGAGAGGGGCCTTGTGGAGCGAGATTCTCGCGCACCCCCGGAGGTATATGCCATCAATCCGAACTACCCCTACTGTCGCTTCCACCGGCATCAGGGGCACAAAACAGATGACTGCCATCAGCTGAAGACGACCATCGAGAGGTTGATACAGGCGGGCCATTTGTCCCAATTTGTCCAAGGCCCTCAGCAACAGGGTCCCCCCTACCAAGGGCCACCCCAAGGGTACCCTGCGAAAGCAAACGCGTGGGTCAACCCCAACACCATCCCCCTCGGCAAGAAGAGGGAGATTGGGAACCTGGAAGAAGAGGAGGAAGAGTACCCTCGGTACCAAGAAAACAAGCGCCACATCCTCATGATCACCGGGGGCAATACCGGGGGTGACTCTACCAGTCAACGAAAGAAGTGGGCTCAATCACTTTACGTGGGGGAAGTCACTCATATGCCCCCGGTAAAGCGGCTGAGGGAGGAACCCATTACCTTCACTAACGCCAATCTCCCCCCGGTGTCCTCTCCACATAGGGATGCCCTCGTCATCCGCACGGAGATCAATGACACTATCATCCACAGAACTTACGTTGACACGGGCAGTTCTGTCAATGTAATGTATCTCAGCACCTTCAGAGAGCTGCACCTGGAAAGGGGTCCCTTCGGCCCATCAAGACCCCTCTTGTCGGCTTCACCGGTGATACCATCGATTCCGAGGGGGTCATAACCCTCCCGGTACTATTCGGCGACGGGCTCCATAGAGCCAAGCTTGAAGTGGAGTTCGTCGTCGTCAACATCGAGTGCGCCCACAACATCATCCTCGGCCGGCCAGCCCTCGAGGATCTCGAAGCTGTCATC